AAGAATTAAAACCTTTTAATCTTGTTTAAAATTCAGTTTTAAGGTTTAATTTTTCAATTTCTACTATTAACTCACACTCTCTATTTATTTATTTATTCATTTTTATCTTGGTGAAATTTTCAATCGTTAATAAAATACATTTTATATAAAGCGCTCAATTGAGCTAGAATTTTATATACATGATTATTTTGGATGACAATACAATAATTTAATTATAATTAAAAAATTAATTGATTAAAACTAATTATTTAAAAATTTAAAATTTCAACCAAGTTGGCATCATTTTTTGGGGCTTGGGTCAAAACAAAAATTTTTCTCAACCCTTTTAAAACCCGTTGAACTGGAAAAATTTTAAGATACTGATTGTTTTGGATGACAATACGATACTTTTTTAAAGATAATTAATAAAAATAAATTTTTCCCTTTTTAAAGTTGTGATTCTGTCATATGTATATACATATCTATATTAATCAAAATATTTAATAAAAAGTAGCTAAAATAAAATTTTTCTTTGATCTAAGTAGGAATTGACTTAATTTTTTTTTATTACTTGTTTCTGCGTAGTTTTCTTACGATGCTGCATCATCTAAAGATTTATTAATGTTGCATTATAAGATTATACATTATTGTGCGCCGATATATTGACCGGGCCACAAAAATGTTCTTTGCTGCCAGCGAGTTTGACACCCTGGTCTACACGGTATGTCAAAATACCCCCCAATTAGGGGGGGATGTCTTAAAACTTTTTAAAAGCCCCGGCCCTAAAAAAAGGTAAGCCCTGACTGTGATTCTTTTTAATAGACAGTATAGAGCAGTGGTCTTCAACCCCGGGCCACTCAAGGAACATTAAATTGTTTCTATTTTATTTACTGTGGTGTATTTCTCTCGAGTTCGTGTGACTTTCCATGGAAATCACTTTATATTCCATGTTAAATCACTTTACATTTATTTTTGGTGTAACAGTGTTTTATTCTAGATACAATTAAATTTAATCATTTGTTTTATATATAGTTACACACACAATTAAATTAAAATTATTAAATCAAAACAATCTAAAATATAAACAATTAACGTCACCCCAGCGTACCCAGTGCGCCGCTGTAAAATTTTCAAACGTTGACCAGTCTGCGGTGATAAACAAGTTGAGGAATACTAGTATAGAGTACACGTTGTGAAATACTTGTACAAAAGGTAAGCAGTAACACAGAAATGTGCGGGATTCATGGTCTCACAAACCTAGGCAAATACCAAACAGACCGACTGATGCCTTTTGCGTACATGATGGTGTAAGATGGTAGGCTTAGGCATGGACGATAGACATGACATAATAATGCTGTCTTGCCACTGTTGCCAACTGACATATAGTACGAAATTCCCAGTTGTTCAGAGAATATGCGTAGAAATAACATTTGACGATTAAAATTATTCAGAACAAGATTTTAAGGCCAAGTCCAGAACTAGATGACCCGTCTCCCCTCGAGACCTAGACCTTGACCCAGTTACTTGTGCGCCAAAGCATCTCTGTTGAGTGATCGTTATAATTTTCAAACGCCTCTAAGATACTCATGTTATCATAAAAATGCATTTTTTACGAGACAGTTATTAATTAAAGCCATCTTGAAGGACGGACTATGATACCCGCACTGGTGTAAAGGGGTCACGTGAGCAAAAAAGAGGAGTTCATTCTACACCGATTGTTACTTTTTCGTATAGTTGTCATGGATGGTTGGCTTTGAATTAACGTGAAAGCATATTTTTCATACTTTTGTAGTTTTATCCATAAAATTATGTAATTAAAAAAAACTTTATCCGAACTCTGCAAAACATTTTAATGTCTTGCTTAAGGTATCCGACTACGTTCGGAACCATGATTTTAAAAAAGCACTTAAATGGATAATTTTCTTGATATTTAGTGTCACTCAGATTAGAATACATGTATACAATTGTTTTAAGGACATTATGACAAAAAAAAAATTATTTAAATACAATATTTTGGCAAAAAAATGAACTTAGAATAACCTTTTTTTTCCAAAATGTTCTCCTTTTGTAAAAATGCTTCTATATTAATATTTTTCATATGTATATAGCTCAGACCTCTGTACAGAGGCTCAACCATGATTTTTGAAAATTCAAATTATTCTTCAGAGTTACAATCATTTGAAATAATTATCGGCGTATTTTCTTAAAATTTCTCCCTTCTGTTTTCGTAAAACATGGATAAACCGACTTCCGAGTTATGCATTTCAAAAATTCTCGTTGAGCCTCTGTAGAAAGGTCTGAGCTGAATACAGGCAAAATATTAATACAATAGAAGCATTTTTTACAAAAGGAAAACATTTGGAAAAAAGGTTATTCTAAGTTAATTTTTTGCCAAAATACTGTATTTAAATAATTTTTTTTGTCATATAATGTCCTTATATAAAACAATTGTATACATGTATTCTAATCTAAGTGACACTAAATATCATAAATATTATCCATTTACGCGCTTTTGCAAAATCATGGTTCCGAACGTAGTCGGATACCTAAAACTATACATTGCCTACATTTTATTCCAATTGCAATCAACGAATTTTCATCTTTTTGCTCAAAAATATAATTAAACATAGATTTTGTGCACCAGCCCAGGATATACAAAGATATTAATTATTTTGCTATATTTGGGCATATATAATCAAAAGTAATTCCCTTTTTAATTTTATTTTGAAAATTGTATCCATTATGTAGGTTTAATTAATGCTAAGCAGCCTACAGTAGAAAATTTCAAACCTATCTAAATGAATGAGAAAAAGAAGGTAACAAATGTAAGCTAAATATTTTGTAACTTAAGTAATATGTACCCGACAAAAAAATAATAAGAACATTTATTTTAAATTATTCTTCGCTTACAAATAATAGTGCAGAATGGAAATAATATTAAAAGTTACTTAAAATCATACAGGTTATATGCTTTTCCGTAGGAAACAAATGGATTTTTACTACTTAACATTATTTTTCTTTATGGTTAAATTCTTTTTATTTTTAAGTTTATTTATTTATTTGCGATTAGTAGAATAGATAGAAAAGAGAAAGATGTTTTCCAGTAAACTCCTTTTCAAATACGAGTAAATGTACATTTTTTAAAATTTAAAAACCCGATGGGAGAGAGTTATATTTATATGTCACATTATACAGCTTCACGATGACTATTGGCGACAGACCTCGTAATTTTGAACCGTGGTCAAGTGACGAGAATGACCCCTGAGATGGCACTCTCTTTCCTAACTTCCACACCAACGGGAGGACGTTTAAGCCTTGACAGATTTAACGTGCATCGGCCCGCTCTACACGGCAGGTCTTCAGCTGCACTAGGCTCAAACTTATGATACGCCAGTCATGAGTCTGGGACCTTGACCATTAGGCTACCACGGCCTTGAAAGCCCGATTCCATTCAATCATACGCGAGTACTAAACTTTCTTGTATAATTCTAGAAAAAAACACAAAAACCAACGTAATTAAAAAATTTTAAAAATTGCTTGTGTAGCACTATTTAAAATTACATTTAGGTGATTATGATTTTTTTCAGTTTTGTCATTCTTTTTCTGAAAAGCTTTTAATAACATTTTTTTTTTCTTTTTTCGCAAAGGTAAGTGGATAAAAACTTTTTAAATTCTATCAGACGTTCTGATCCAATTTCATTTTTCTCAGAATGAATCAAGAAAATCTTAAATAATTCGGTTTTCAATTTTTTTTCTCCAAATTTGTGCGTTTTAGCAAATGAAGAAAGTTGCTACATAGCAGTCTAACCTTAACACACTAAATAGAGAAAAAAAAAATGTTCCATTATAAACATTAAGATTTTGGACTTAATCCAATGAGCGATAGTAAAATATAAGGAAAAACATACATTAAATAAAGAAAATAATGTGATTAAGAAATAACCTTTTAGTGAATCTCTTTCTACCTCTTATCTTATACGAGGATTGGGGCATAAGTCATAGCAACTATTTTTTTTCTTGTATATATGTGAATGGATCACAAACGTATATGTGTCGTGTGGAAGTTTTACAGGCATAAAAGGATCGAACATAGGTTTTGGGATAGCTGGTAGTAGCGCAGGGGGGTTGAAATCAGTCAGTTGGTGAGTGTCGGTAAAAGCCCCCGTGTTGGGGTTCTTACATCAAAATAGCCGTTCTCCGAGGAAAAATGCTATGAATATCACAGTGAATTAGTGGAATCCGGAAAAATGCCTTAATATTAAAGACTGGGGTCCCGGGGTCTTTTTTTTTACCGTGAAAATTAACTGCCCTGATATATATATATATATATATATTTTATATATTTAATATATATATATATATATATATATATATATATATATATATATATATATATACAAAATAAAAATTTTTTTTTGATATTTCGTGCTATTCATTGTTCACACATGTAGTTAACACCTTTTACTTTCGTCTCTGTATGTCACATTTTCCAACCGAAAAAAAAAAAAGTTGCCATGACTTTTTCCCCCAACCCTCGTAGATTAAAAGTCGCAGTGTGAATTAGTTTTGATTTATTTATACGTAGCACAAAAGAACTTTTCCAAGGGGGCATCAAAAGCCCACCATTTTACCATGCCCCTTTTGTTTTTTGTGTTTAGGGAACAAAAATAGTAAAAAAAATTTATTGAATAAATAATTAGTTTTAAATTAATTAAATTAATCATTAAAACAAATTTTTTTAAAATTTATTTTAATTTTTAAAATTATATAATCAATCTGGAAAAAAAAAAAGGGTTTTTGGGGGGGGGGGGACCCCTAGGGCCCCCCTTTTTTCCCTGTATTTATATAATATTATACAGGATATTAGTTTTGTACTGAACGTTACACATTATGTGCAGAACATTTTTTAAAGGGATGGGTCGTGAGCCGGGTCCCGATTGACTTAAGGGCCTCGTAATTCTCGACGCAGCCTCCACAAGATCATAATATAAGCAATTTTAGTGGTTATAATCACGACCGCCCATCCATTATAGTGGTCAGGGATGCTGACTGCGATTTTGTAGGGCCTGGGTTCGAATCCCGGAGAAGTCATGGATGTTTATAAATGCATAATGCCTTTGCTGCATGAGAGTACTCTAAATAGCCGTCGAGTCGCAAATCCTCTCGTGAGGTTGGTGGAAGGGGAAGAGAGGTGAGAGACCTCTGACCACTCCCAAGGTGTTGTTCTCCATGAAAATTTTGGTTGGAACCGAGCCAAATCATTCTGTCACCTGTGTGGTGCTCAAAGCTACGGCTAATGACAGGCGTATAACTAGCCCCTTGCCACGACGAATTTCGTGGGCCATGATCTGCGGTTACTGTCAATCAGGTGGCATAAGTAAAGACAACAACAACTGATTTGCAGCCGGTGTGTCATGAGTTCGAGATCTAGTGCTACTGAAGACCTGCCGTGTAGAGGGGCCTGATACATGTTACATCTGTCGAAGTTCTAAGTGTTTCTATTAGCGTGTTGGAGAGGTGGGTTTCAGTTCAGGTGTTGTCTTCGTCACTTGACCAAAGTTTAAAACTACGAGATCCATTGCCAATAACCCTCATGTTGTTTTATAGTTCGACATTGATAAAACCTTACGCATCCGAACAATTTTAGTCCCTAAATGTTATTCCCTGACGTATATTATCCATAAAATCTAAGAATCAAATCACTCAATCAGGTTTGAATAATTTAAGGTATCCGACTACGTTCGGAACCGTGATTTTGCAAAAGCGTATAAATGGATAATATTTATGATATTTAGTGTCACTTAGATTAGACAATGTATATAAAACTGTTTTAAGAATAGTATTACAATAAAAAAATTATTTAAGTACAATGTCTTGACAAAAAATGAACATAGAATGACCCATTTTCAAAATATTCTCCTTTTGTGAAAAATACTTCTATTATAATAATATTTTGCCTGTATAACAAGACCTCTGTACAGAGGCTCAGCTAAAATTTTTTGAAATATATAACTTAGAAGCGGGTTTATCCATGTTTTACGACAACAGAGGAGAGAAATTTTAAGAAAAAAACATGATAATTATTTCAATGGGTTGTAACTCTGAAAATAATGTAGAATTTTTCAAAAAAAATAGTTCAGACTCTCTGGAGAAGTCTTTACTTTATATAAGCGCGCACGCACACACACACACACACACACGCACACACACACACACACACACACACACACACACACACACACACACACACACACACACACGCACACACACACACACACAAAACATTATTATTTTAGAAGTATTTTTATAAAAGGAGAACATTTTTGAAAAAAGGTTGTTGTAAGTTAATTTTTGCCAAATATTGTATTTAAATAAAAAATTTTTTGTCAAAATAATCATAAAACAATTTTATACATATATTCTAATCTAAGTGACACTAAATACCATGAAAATTATCCATTTATGCGCTTTTTTAAAATCACGGTTCCCAAACGTAGTCGGATACCTTAATTTTAAAGACATAGTTAATGATTCTGCGAATTTAAAATGTAGAAAATAAATTTTCATTTTATTTTGGATTGCTTTTGTTGAACCAACCACGGAAAAGCACTAAATTTAAAAAAAAAGGTTTGCAGCAGGCGGGGGCTACTTTTTCATAGGGGCCCAGGGCCTCAAAAAGTCTTAAAACGTCACCGATTACAGGTCGGAAAGTATGAAAATTAGTCGACTTAGAAGGGCGTTGTCAATTTCGGAGGTTCTCTTGTGTTTGCATTTTGAATTTAATTTTTATATTACCTGTAAAATACGAACATTGCAATCGGATTCTCAAACTATTTAAATCTACCTTATCTGGTTAGAGTTTCTTAAAACAAAAATATTTTAATCCAATGAAAGTTATCGCTACAAATTTATTAGTGGTGAAAAATGTCCACTAAGAATTTTTTTCGTCTTTTCTGTAAATCTTTTGTAATTTTTTTTGCTTTCAAATTTAAGATAACTTACGTTGTTCGGTATAAGTGGAAACAGGTAAGTTTTTCCTGTTATGCAAATAAATAAATTTCCTTAAATATTTTTATACACTAACATCACTTTTTCCCCCTCAATTATTCTAGAGCACAGGTCCCCCCCTCAAAGTGGTTTCTGTGGATCCCCGGGGTGTCCTTGTGACTGTTGAGAGAATCCGTGAAAGGTTAAAATTAATTTTAAAATGGTGGACAACATTCAGGGGTCCATGAAAGGTTTATTATGAAGTAAAATATTTATGATCAATTTTCATTATGCAAGTTAAAGAGAGAGGGAGTTATATTAGCGTCGTTCTATAAAGCTGCACGAGGACTATTGGTGACGAACATCATAATTTTGATCCATGGTCAAGTGAGGAGACCTAAGCTGTCACCCCTTCACCTAACAGTCCCACTACACAATCGGGAGGACCTTTGAGTCTCGACAGATTTAACGTGAAGCGCCGCCCTCTACAAGGCAGGTTTTCAGCTGTAATGGGCTCTAATTCATGAGATGACAGCCATAAGTCCGTGACTTTGACCAACAGGCAACCGTAGCCTCTGTATTGTTCTAGAGCAGGAGTTCTTAAACTTTTTGAGGTGGTGACCCTAGTTTTTGGACAAAACTTTTGTGCGACTCCGTGAGTATTGCTCAACATATGCAAATCAAATAAAATATTAATGATTTTATTATAATTTAAGTCGAAAACTTCTTCGCGCGCGTTATATGTATTTTCTTTTCTTGATTAGATTTCAGATACAATGTGTTAAAAGATTCGTTAATGGTGAATAAGTTGTTTTAATGGAATTACAGAAAGCAATACTATTCTTTGTATTGTTAATTCTAAATTATATGTAAAGTGAATATTTTTGAATATAATTGGATATCTTGTACATAAATTTATTGATGAAAGTTATACTTTTTTTAAAGAGTTGATTTATAAAATAGTCTAATCCAGCGATACTCAACCTGCGACCCACCGAGCCCTTTCAAGTGGCCCGGCCATGGCCCATTGCTCTGAGAAATTCACTTATTAAAGAACATTGTATTAAAAATTTGGTGGGAAATTCTTTGTCAAGAAATCAAATATATCAATTTTGCTTTTTGCTGTCGGTGTTGTACGGGTGCGAATTGATATTCTTTTTCTATTTAGAACACTTACGGTTAGTGATAACAGACAACAGTAGAGTAGCGACCATTTCATGAGTGGAACTAATTTTTAACTATCTTTCATATCTTGCAAGTGAAAAATATTCGAAGAAAATATATCGTTTCAAGGCGATTGGGAGGTTGACTGTTTTGTAGTGAAAAACAAACAATGATCAGTAATTGTTTGATTTGTCTCATGAAAGTGCTTTATTTAAAAAAATACCAATAACAGGAATCATTCAATGACACTTTTCTTCGAAGATCTCTAGCAAGAGATGATAAATAGGCTTTCTTGAATATTTTTTACAACAGCAACAATGTGTTTTGCCAGTGGTCAGTAACCAAGACCTCCTATGAAGTTTGCTATATTATTGGTAATCATATGAAACCGTTTACTGAGATGCAGACATTGTGAAGGAGTGTTTCTTAAATGCTTCTAATTTAGTGCTAGTGGCAAAAATAAAAAATTATAAAAAATAATAACTAAAAAAAGCAAAACAGGAGTTATAATATTTGGATCAATTTTCCACTTTTTAAATTTCCAATGTTTTGATCTTAAAGCATTTCTTCCCCTTCCCCCATTTATCCGCATGTTGCGAACTGCGTAAAATAACTAACATATGTATGCGGCCCGCGTGAATTAGCTGACATAAATATGCGGCCCAGTAGAAAAAAAGGTTGAGTACCCCTGGTCTAATCTATACGTAAAGGGTGTTGCCGAATTCGATGGACAAATTCAGAACGGTGATGGTAGACAGCATGGAGAAGACAAATCACCATAAAGCACGTCTAGTTTAGTTGGTGAAAATCGGGATAATAATAGCCGTCGGTAGAACGATGAGCCTGACGAGGGGAGAGGTCAAACGAATGTGGGGATTTCGAGCGCCGTGGTAGGGTTGGAAAAACCTAAAGGCCGTATCACACGTACACGTTTCAAGCAATTTTTCGTTCAATTTTACTCAGTTGCCATAGCAACCGTTTTAGAATTAATTTTTTTGCTAGCGAGCTCAAAGTTGTTCCAAATAAAACCAGCGAAATTCAGCCAATGGGGTTCTTCGGCGCCCTACGTCATAAACAAGATGGCGGCTCCGGTTTCGTCTAACACTTCAGATATGCCGTATAATATTTTAATGGTGTATAATATTTTTAAATAAGTGGTGCTCTATTTTTTAGTTTACACCCATCAACAATTGAGCAAGCGAAATTAAAGAAATAATTTTGGATGTTCATTTTCGAAGCAGAAAAATCGGCGGGCAATTTTCAATGTGGAGATAGAGCGCGGCTGACGTCAGAGCGTGTCGTTTTGTTTGCAGCAACCCTTCCTCCTCAGATTCGGCCAAAAATTGGACGAAAAAATGGCTTGAAAAATATACGTGTGATACGGCCTTAAGCGTATTCAAATTTCCCACTCGTCTGAGCAGAAGAAAAGGGGCGAACACTGCTCACCAGAACGTGTTGTTCATGTCCGAGGGTGCACCAGCACATTTTTCACTTACGGTGTGTAACTACCTCCATGCTATATGTCCCGGAAGGTAGATCGGGTGTGGTGGACCTGTTTCTTGGCTTAGTGAAAATTGAACCCAAAGGAGGTTGCGGGATGTTAAGGGACGTAATAGATTTTTTCTTAAAAATTTGTTTTTGAAGTGTTAGACCACTGGCGTAGCTAGCTCCGAAGGGGCCTGCATAAAAATTCCTTCGGGGCCCTTTTTAAATATGGGAGCCTTGTTAACCGGACTGTAGTTATACATGTTGAGGTCTCTGTAGCTTGGGGGCCCCGTATCATTGATATGGCAGATACGGCGGTAGCTACGCCCTTATCTTAGACCCACATACTTGAAATTTGGTAAGCGTGTTAGTTTTGTTCAATAGAGATCTGCTAAAAGCGGATTTTACGGAAATCGAATCTTATGGCGGGAGGGGGTTGCGTTTAGTTACTGGGACGTATAC